CATATAAGAACTACTGATTAAGCAGGGCAATACCCCTTAGAGAGGGTGCAGAATGAGAAGATAAAAGCTGAACTCGTGCAACAATCTTTGCTTCACTTGGTGTCATCTCTAAGGTGAGGTGAGTGAAGCCCATTGCTAGACGGAGAATGCCACTCCATATAGGTTCCATTTGTATGACTTGTAACATTTGATCATTTTTGGCATCAAAGGTCATTGTTTTTTAAGACAATTACACTGAAGGGTTTTGGTCTGGTCCCCGAACTGGTAAACAGAACTGGGTGGTGCATAGAAAGGGAAAATGGGTGTACTGCAACACAATGAAACACTAGAGTTTGTGTTTGCAACACAACAAAATCTGGAAAAGTTGACTGGGTGTCAATACTTCTGCAAGAGTGTGGACAGATGTAAATTCAAATTGGAAGACTCTTCAGTTCCCCCTGCATGGTCCACAGCCTATCAGTATCGGACCATGCCTCATCATAGCCAATCTTCAATCAATCTTCTGTTTACAAGATGATATAAACAGATGATGGTCCCATCTGCTTTCCAGCCGTGCTCAACCCATATCTGCCCCTTCTCCACCTCTATGCTCCTGTCTCCTTCAAGCTTCCATCCGTTCTCTGGCCTCCACCACCAGTGAATGGGGAGAAGACCTCTCAACTCATCATTGCAAAATGCTCGTCCAAGCTTATCGCAATTCACAGCACAATGTCTTTTGCCGGCATCTGAGCACCACAGGACTTTAATTCTTTCATGTCAATACAACTTTTTACTCACAGTTTTTGTGTGTGTGAATCTCTCTAGGTTGGATTAACTGCTGCTGCAGAGACGCATGACCTGACAGGAAAACACTCCAGCGAGGTTTCAGGCTTTGGGCTGATCTCTCACTCATAATGACCAGAACATAAAGGAGCACTACCTGACTCCTCATCATGACCTAGGACAGGAAATTAAGAAAAAAAAACATGATTTCTTTGACAGTTGTTATAGAAACAGCAGTTTATTTTTTGTCATATAAAGACAATCTAGCTATCAGATAGTCTAGCTTCAGCTGAGGCGCTGAAGCATCTCAGAAACATTATGGATTCATACATTATGAAATGAGTCTCATTTAAATTATTTTATTTCCTTCAGGTCTTTCAATTAGCATCTGTAAGTGATTTACAGCTCAACATAAAGCACTTAACCATAAAACATGCAAGTCATGCTTTTACTGTGACAGATATATTTTATACCACAAGGGGGAGCAAAGACACCAAAATCATCTCTGCAAGAAATTGAAAGATGGGAAACTAATATTATGATTCACAAAAAGTTTCTCATGTCAGAATGATTTTTTGTAAACAAAGATGTTTATCTTTACAAATATACATTATTTAAAAAACATTAAAAAGTCCATTATCAAATACGGTTGATTAAGACTTTTAAGATGTGATTGCTTACCTGTTGTGGGTGGCTATGTAGAGGCAATTTACTTCTGATAACTATGAGAAACCAAAACATGTTTATTTAAAAAAAAACATTCCAATATTTAATGGTGAATAACTCTTCTTTCCAGTTGACACAGAACTTCCGCATCAGAAGCAGAACTTTGTTGCAGTTCCTGTTTTCAAAAATGTTATCAGAAGTAAATTGCCTATACATAACCATCCATCACAGGTAAGTAATCACATCTTGTTTTATTTAAAAAAAATGTTATGTCTAAATTAACCATTTTTGATAATGCACTTCTTAAACATATTTATGTTTTCAGTAATGTAATACTTTGTTTACAAACAAACAGCTTAAATCCAAACAGAAATCTAAGGCTGCGTTCATACTGCAGCCTGAAGTGACCCAATTCCGATTTTTTTGATGTAATGCAACGTGTATCCGATCTTTTCATGACAGTCTAAACAGCACAGGTCAGATTCTCTTCGAATGCGACTCGGGCCACTTGGACATCCGACACGTATCCAATTCAAACACGACCTAACGTTCACGTCGCATTCATCTGACCTGAACGTCACTGATACTCAACAAACTCCACTATAATACATCCTGATACACAAGTGGGAAGAATAACAACAAACATGGCGGACTATGAGGATTAAGTTGTTAATATGCTGCATATGTAGAAGCTAAGCTCCACCGTTAGCCTCCATATTTACTTCCACAAACACAGAGCACTTCTTTTGTTCATAGCTGTTGGCAGAACACTGAGAACGCTGACGTTATTGCGCCCTCTACTGGGCATGCGGGACACTTCCAGGTTCTTGCCCGTTCACACTGCAGAACACATACAGGTTGCATATGTTCAGAAGTGTCATGGCAAAAACAATCCGATTTGACAAAAAATCGGAATTGGGTCATTTCAAGCTGCAGCCTAAAAGTGTTCTATCAGAAACTTTTTGTGAATGATTTATTAGGCTGTTTACACTGCAGCTTGAAGTGACCCAATTCCATTTTTTTTGCCTAGTGATCTGTATCTGATCTTTTCTTCACAGTCTGAACTGCACAAGTTGCTTGTATATCCGATACATATTCAATGTTTTCAAATGCTCTTGGCTGCTGTTAGGCCTACCAATTTTAAGTTGAATGTTCATTGCATTTTTCATAGAGACCTGTGAAAATAATTTCTATTCCCATGGCTTTTTTGGTCTCTGGGAAATTATTTTTGATGATAAATACAGAAACAAGGATAAAAATCAAAACATCTACAATAGTGATAGTAATATTAATAATAAAATAATAGTCAGTGCAAAGTAGCCTACAAATTCTTTGGTGGGGGCGGTGAGGGACCTGGATAAAGGCTGGGGGGGGGGGGGGGGGCCTCTCCCAAAAAGGGTTGAAGAAACTTGTTTCCATTTTGTATCCCTACATTCCTGACACCCGT